ACCAAAGAAAGCATTTATTATCCAAATTTTTTATATTTAAAACTGCTTTTGTCAATTTAATACTCTCTGGTGTGGGTATGTATGATTTTGGAGTTAAGGGCTTATACTTGTAAACATGTAACTGCCAATATTTAGTATGGTCATAAATCCATCCACTGCCTTGGGCTTGATATTTGTGTATAGATGCATCAATCTTTAAAAGAGCATTGTCAATTTGAGGCTTTAAATCTCTCTTCTCAATAGTTAAGGTGGTAATGCTTCTAAAATCTGCAATACATTCTTTCTCATTAACTAATTTTCCATTTTGATCCACAGAATATTTTATAAATTTGATTCTCCTTACTAAAGTCCATTTTATCGGCAGAGGACAAGAGTGAAGAGTATTTTTAAGTTTAGTTTTAATCGATTCACCAACAAATTTAATCATTGTATATGGACATTTGTTGCAAGAATGTACATGTCTTTTAAAATGACCAACAACATTTCTTTTACAGAAACTACAAGTCTTGTGAGTTATTAATATATGAGATTTTAGAGCTATGTTACTATCACAGATTAAATTACAAACTTTACACAGTTTTACCTTGATTTGATGTATCAAATTGTAGTGGCGAATCAGGTTACTTTTGGTGGAGAATGACACAGAGCAGTGTTGACATGTAGCCTTCATTTTATATATGTAACAAAAAACTAGGTTGGCATCTTCTATATAGTTGAAATTACATTTTAACAATTTCAATTAGTGAGAAATAATAATTTAAATCAGAATTTTAAATGTTAATATTCAAAACAATTTTATACAATAAGATTTTATAATTGCAATTTTTAAAATCAAAACTAGATCAAAAATTAAATTTGTTAAATAAAAAATACTTTTTAGCAATTTAGAATGTTGAGTCTACATTTATACAGTGTGTGCTATAGAGAAAACTACCTATGTTACCTGTGTTACCTTAATGAGTGAAATTCAGCTAATTGTATAAAAATCAGGACTTGTTATATTTTAACATAGTGGAAGTTATACAAAAATGACAAAGTGTCATGAGAGAAAAATAATATAAGTTTTAAAGAAAAATCCTGTAAAATTTTTTCTAAGTTCAAAAATAAGGATTTTAATGTTTAAGTTTCACTGCCATAGTAACTGTTGAGAAATACTCTTTAGTATAAATTACATTTTGACAATTTCAATTAATGAGAAATAATAGTTTAAATCAGAATTCTAAATTTCAATATTCAAAACAATTTTATACAATAAGATTTGACAATTGCAATTTTCAAAATCAAAACTAAATCTTAAAAGTTATATTTGTTAAATAAAAGAATACTTTTTAGCAATTCAGAATGCTGAGTGGAGCGACACAGAGCAGTGTTCATGTAGTCTTCATTTTATATATGTAACTAAAAACTAGGTTGGCATCTTCTATATAGTTGAAATTACATTTTAACAATTTCAATTAGTAAGAAATAATAATTTAAATCAGAATTTTAAATGTTAATATTCAAAACAATTTTATACAATAAGATTTTATAATTGCAATTTTCAAAATTAAAACTAAATCAAAAATTAAATTTGTTAAATAAAAATACTTTTTAGCAATTCAGAATGCTGAGTCTACATTTATACATCGTGTGCTATAGAGAAAACTACCTATGTTACCTGTGTTACCTTAATGAGTGAAATTCAGCTAATTGTATAAAAATCAGGACTTGTTATATTTTAACATAGTGGAAGTTATACAAAAATGACAAAGTGTCATGAGAGAAAAATAATATAAGTTTTAAAGAAAAATCCTGTACAATTTTTCTAAGTTCAAAAATTAGGACTTTATCACTGTCACAAGTCTTTTGAAAAATACTCTCTCTAAGTTTCAAATAATAAATACACAGACAGGCAGTCACCTAACTAAGTCATTTCCGCACGAGCAAGCGAGGAAGTGTCCATACCACTGCAATTAATTATACAGACAGACCAGTCTCAGACATCATTCTATTCGCTACCGAGACAGGGGCGTGGCAGCGTAGGATGTCTAGACAGGTCCACGGTGCCAACGCCTTCCACTAGCCCAGCCCCGCATGTGAAAAAAAAACTTACCAGAGGAGAGAGATCAAGATGGCTGCGACGGAAGGGGACTGACTGAAGGAACCGGTTTTCCCCGCCTTTTTATATAATTCCCAGCAAGTGAATTCTGTACAATTCATAAAATAATTTTTAACAATTGCAGTGTATTTGTAAAATTTATTTTAACAATTTCTGGAGAAAATTAAAATATGAAAGTACAAATTTAATTTGACACCTGTCACCTGTCATCACATCAATCACTGTCAATACGTCCGACGCCGCGCGCCTGTCTAGACATCTGGCGTCACTCATTCCCGCGCCGCATTCTCTCTCTCTCACTCCCACGCCACGTTCTCTCTCTCTTTCAATACCCCCCCTCTCGACATTGAATGGAACACCTGAGACTGGTCTGTCTGTATAATTAATTGCAGTGGTATGGACACTTCCTCGCTTGACACTGCTAATGGCGAGAGGACCGGTCGCGCTCCCGGCCACAGGCGCGTCCAAGTTTGCATACAAACCTCGCACTGTCAAGTTGATGATTTTGAGAATATACTTGTGAATGCATGTGGATTGGGGTGTACAGGCGAAGATCAGGATTTTTGGATTTGGTGGCTAAAAAATGATCCCCATAAGAATAACATGGGAAAAACGTGCCTAAAGTGGGGTCATACCGGTAGTTCACCACTACTTATGTAGATACGATATACTGCACATTGTGAGAATTGTTTAGTCGAGGATACATTTACACATAAACATCATCATTATTTGAATATTTAATTGGCCAACACAAATGTTGTGATTATTGTTTTGAAACTGCTACACATCCGATCATCAAGTTTAAGGTGTCGTTGGATAGGTCGTGACATGTAAATTTGCCATAAAACAAAACCCATTTGAAATTCCATCAGGGCTCTGCCCCAGAAGCCAATTGAAATAGTCAATATACGTGATTCAATTTATTTCATATCACGGACGATTACTTAATACCTATCAAACATTAGAAATGACAAAATAAATGTAAAAATATATGGTATCAGCATTCTGAAACATACTTTCTCCCATAAGCTTGTTAACATCCTATATCATGGGAAAGCGGTGATAGTATATAGTTCAAAATCTTAAAAGCTGAAATAACTTTTGGACCACAATTGTTACAGCAATGGGGTGTTGTACTATTTTTTTAAAACATCTTTTGTTTATGTTTATAATCCATACCAGGTCTCTTCTAGTATTCGTGGTCTAATCACAGAATACCGATAATTTCACCCGAATTACGTTTTGAATTCAAGTGAATAAAATTTTCTTTGCGTCTTGCTTTCGCAAACCATTATAAAATGGCACAAGACTATCCCTGACTATCGCCGGTTTAAATGTATAAAATGCATGCTTTTTACACGTATGTTGCGTGCGCACGTGGTGGTAGGTGCACATAAAAACTTATATATATATAAATATATATATTTATACGCCTAATGAAAAAAATGTTTTTTCACTGGCAATTAAGTAAAATAACTATTCTATTTTTGTTTTTGTTATACGTTTTTATCATCTCATATTAATACGCGAGGACTGTGTTTTGTGAACACTACTCCTCCCTTATTTGTGGACAAATTTCAACGTTTAAGGTGTTGGTGTTAAAGGATTCGGACCAATTCGAAGTTTTGTATTAAGGTTTTAGAATTTAAAAGTTCCTACTTCCTACCCTTAAGGGCGTGAGACCCTTTCAAATGTCGGGGTTTCACCATGTTAATAATTGTATTACCTATCAATCTTTCTTCCAAAAATAAACTAAAATGTCCAGAAATGCTATTTAAGAGTTAGGTACATAACTTTCTCTAAATTAACTGAATCAAAGCACAATATATTTAATGCTACAGAATATAAATCCAACCGATTTATTTATTGATAAATCAAACCGCGAGGGTGTGGGTTGTCGAGGTGGCACGTTGTCGCCTATGATCGAGGTGGCGCGTTGACGGCACCGAACACTGAGCGTACACGTCAACCCGCCACCTCGTAAAAGAGTGGTGGCGGGTTGACGGGGTGGCACGTTGTCGCCTACGTACGAGGTGGCGGGTTGCCGACATCGAACATGGAGCTTCACGACAACCCGCCACCTCTGATAAAAACTGGTGTTGGTGGGTTGTCGTGGTGGCATGTTGTCGTGGTGGCTCATTGACTTGAGTGTGTACGACAACCCGCCACCTCGGAAAATTGTGTGGTGGTGGGTTGTCGTGGTGGCCTGTTGTCGAGGTGGCGGGTTGACCTGTACGTACACGTCAACCCACCACCTCGGTTTTTTTGTGGTGGCGGGTTGACGCCTCTGACCAAAACACCGAGGTGGCGGTTTGACGTGGTGGCGCATTGACAGCGACCCATCTCAACTTGCTCTTGCGCCGCCGGATCCGGCGTCCGGCGGTTTCGCCGGTAAGTGTGTCCCTGGCCTAAGTTGTAGGCCTGTTACTATTCCCTGTACTGATAAACGACCTTGATAGAGAATTGGATTGTTACATTTCTAGTCAATAATTTTGCAGTAATTGACAAAAATCCTTCATTGATTTTAATGGGATATTTGTTTAGCGCAAGACTCTTTATGCTTTGCCTGAAGAAATGAAGAGCCCGAGTCATGACCCTGGCAGGTTCAAGAGGGAGTTGCTGAAATAGATTATGGCCGCTACTACACCCTTTTTATAGTAATAAAGAGTATAAAGACTGGAAAAACAATATTTTGTGAAGCAAGATCACATCAAAAATGTTTAAACTGTGTATTTCATATGACTCCATTTTCAATCTTGACGATTGCAAAATAAAGAATCTCTCTCTCTCTCTCACTCTCTCTCTATCTCTCTTTAGTTCTGTATGTGTGTATATTATGATGATTCATTTGATCAGATTTCTCCAAGTCTGCCTTTAGATAGTTTCCCTCCTTTTCTCGTAATTCCAAGAGTTTTAATATCGCCGCACATGGTCAAAAATCAAACCTAACCTCTTTCTTTTTGACTTCATCGCAACAGCGTACCTAACCTCAATTTGTTTACTTACTTTGGAAACCATGTCAACAGCGGTTTCTAAAAAGAGGAAAGTATGTATAATTCATTTATATATCTATTTGAAATCCGTATTCTATTTTAGATCTTTAAAAAACCCTAACCCTAAATATTTTTGTGGTAAAATTTGGATTGATTTGGATTAAAATTATGGAAGCATAGGCCTACATCGTAAGTTACAAAGACTAGAGTCAGACTTACTAATAACCTTATCAGAAATCAAATGATAACAAGATGTCTTATTTTAGTAATTTGATGTAAATTAATTATGTAAATAATTGGGTTTTGTCCGCATACATTAAAATCGAGTTTCATGAAATTCTTTGAAGAGAAAGAAAAAAAATTATTTAACACAGTTTTAATTTGTAATGAAGGTTTACATTTTTAATAATGGACACGTGAACAACACATACAAACAACCAATGCGATAATTACACATTGGTTTTGTTTGCCGATATGACGTTTTACTACCTAACATGGATTTGGACCTAATTATTTGGGTACAGTTCCGCAGAGAATCTGCAATATATTAATCGGATTAAATATTTATACCTACATAGGCCATAGGCCTAGCAGTTATAATTCCGTTTGATATACCGTACAAATTTTCACACAATGTAAACATCAAAAGAGTTATGATCTGTTTACATTTTAAGTTAGGCCCTATTATAGTGTGGGAAAGTGTTTAACACGTTCGCTGCTGAGCGCTAGATGCCGGGACGGCGCCAGTTGCTGAACTAACGCTCGGCCGCTGCGTGACATTGCCACCGATACACTGAATTACAGTAAAAACAACAGTAGTTATACTGGATGGCAATGTTCTGCAATAAAACTGGCTTTGGATATAGTACTAAGTGATTCTGATAGATAGCAGCACTACCCAGGTTACAGTCAGTAAAGTAGTGTCGCTATCTAGCAGGAAAGAGGTAAAACAAAGCCCTGTTCCAAACGACCCTGGTGGTGATTTGGGAAACTATATTTTTTATTGTCAGAAAAGTACGTCCGTACGAGCTGCAAAGAAATATAGAACGCTTGTGACGTGCTGGCTTATCCATAGCAACGTTAAACAACAATGAACGGTGACGTTCTGGAACGTTCTTAGCTCCTGGCGCCGTGGCCCGGCTGACGTTCCGGAACGTCCGTAGCAGCGAACGTGTTAAAGGCTTAAACTTAAATATTTCCTTAATTGTAAACCTCTAGTTGAGTCTAATTTCATGTTCTGTTTACGTTTTTTATTGATGTCTTATAAACGAAACTAACTTAAGTTTATGTTAAGTTAATTCAATCAAAAACAAAATTATATTTGAAGTAATTAACGTTAAAAACAAACAATTACCAAAACTTATTGATAAGTTATGGCACTGTATACATACTACTATAACCCAGAATCCCAACCGCATGGTAAAAAGCATAGCAACTCTGGTGGCGCTGCTTACGAACTGACAGGCAAAGTTCTCAAAGTACTTAACGCTTTTTACCATGTGGTTAGCATTCTGGGTTATAGTACCTAGTATGTATTCTGTGGTTATGGTTAGTGCATAGGGTTAAAAACAAATAGTTTTTGCCATTTTTAGTCGTACAAATTTAAAATTAAACCAAGGATAAAAATAAACAACTTTGACTTTGTCGTTGTCAGTATGTAAGTGATTTGTTACTGTTACCCTTTAGTAATACCACAAGCAATGTGAGTAGTAAAATTCAATGACAAAACTAGTATTTATTCAACACATAAAATGAGCTTGCATTCTTTCCAAAGAATGAAATAACAAAACTTAACTTTATTTACATTTCTAACAATTCAACGTACATGACATCAGTTACAACTTAAAATAATTGGAATATCTAAAAGAGCTCTGAATTGCTTTTCTTCCTATTTGCCAAATAGATCTCAATTCATGGAAATTACTCATTTGACAAATCATAATCGAATTATCAAATCATCATCAACTTATCAACCAATTAAATTTGGGTTGCCACAAGGTTCAATTTTGGGGCCATTGCTTTTTTGTGTTACCTTAAGGGCATGGCAGATACTTTAACCTACAAGCAAAATGCTAAATTATGTCTTTACGCTGATGATTCTAATTTGAAGATTGTATCATCTAACTCTCCAGAAGAAACTGAAATGTTTACATATGTAGTATTAGATAATAGGCCATCTTACTCCTTCGTTATCAAACAATAAAGTATCAATTCAATCTGGTATAAACCAAGCAGCTATATTGATTGTAACAATTATTGATCATTACGATCTGTAAAAGTCTGTTTAAAAGTTTTGTCATCTCTATAGTCAGGAGTATTAATTAATGCCCAATGATCGAGGACAACTGGGTTAGTTACAAGCCATTGAAAATCAACCTACTGTGCTTATTTTTTCATTTCTTAAACTTGAGAAGGTGAGTATACAATATGTTGAGATGAATCCATCCCACCGGTCAAGTTGAGTTGTCAGTTTGTTGCAGATGGGGTATTTAAGGCTGAACTGAATGAGTTTTTAACTCGTGAGTTAGCTGAAGATGGCTACTCTGGTGTGGAGGTGCGAGTCACTCCAACCAAGACGGAGATCATCATCATGGCCACCCGGACACAGAATGTGCTTGGAGAGAAGGGCCGACGCATCAGGGAGCTGACTTCAGTTGTGCAGAAGAGATTCGGCTTTCCTCCTGATTCTGTCGAACTCTACGCTGAGAAGGTGGCCACCAGAGGTCTCTGTGCAATCGCTCAGGCTGAGTCACTCCGATACAAGCTGATAGGAGGACTGGCTGTTAGGAGGTATGCCTAAATCTTGTCAACGACATTGTGTAATGTAATGTTTCTATGTTTACCGCCACTGTTTAAAACTCAGCTTTGTTTAAAAATTAATTATTCACCTTGTTCTTTGCTATCCAAGTTAGAATTAAAAGAAACTACTGTCGGGGAAAAAAGTTTAGACACTCGAGTGTGGAGCTCTACAGAAAAGTAACCAAACTAGATTAGAAAAACACGTAGTATATATACATTTTTGTTGTTTTATTCTACGTATTCCTGTGAAAACCAATTTTTTAGCTCGTTTAGGAAATTTTTTATGACAGTCGGAAGGTAAAAACTCCCTGTTTTTAGAGTATCAAAAACCATCTTATGACTTTGAAAATTCGTACAATGTAAACTAAAAGTCAGAACTTTATCAAACTTTAATACAATATAGACACATAATGAACTAATATGTGTAGTTTCAGAATTTTTACTCTACCCAAAAATCTTTTGTTGTACCTTTTGTAAATTAACTTTTTCTCAAAAACGGCAAACGCTAGAAAAAAATTGAAAAGCTTGTATTGAAGGTGATTGGTTTTGTATTTGAAATATTGATACTGCTCAACCACATTACACATCAACACATGTTATTTATATAAGTTAACATTTAATTTGGATAATGCAGAGGCCGAATACGGCACTTCCAGACCGCCGCCGGTTCTGACTGGGCGCATACCCCGTACAGTGTTGCCAAATTGAACACCTGGACACTGAGCAGTAATGGGCTGCGAACTGTTGAGTCAAAACTGAACAGCATATATTATTAACCATGCACTGGATATCGCTTTTCCCTTAACGTTTCTCCCTCAATTCTAAAAAAACATATAGCACTGACAATCATTGCATATTCCGAATCTGAAAATTTAGATTTAGCACCCATTTTTAGCGATGTGACACTAGCTAAAATTGAAGACAGACAGGTGGATTACTGATGACATAATTGGGGTGGTAATACTTTGGACCCTTTGGAAGAATTCAAAACATGATATTTTTGTGAGTCAGTTGTCAGTGACACACACTGCGTGAATCACCTTACGCTCGGTCAACGTCCATCGTGGCAACACTGCACTGGATTCCTGAGCGAGCGATGGCGTCTGCACCCTTTGCAGGCACAAGATCATCCAGTTTTTTGTTAATTTATATATATAACATGCGTAACAATGTGGTTGAGCAGTATCAATATTTCAAATACAAAATCAATCACCTTCGAAACCAGCTTTTCAATTTTTTTCTAGCGTTTGCCGTTTTTGAGAAAAAGTTAATTTACAAAAGTTACAACAAAAGATTTTTGGGTAGAGTAAAAATTCTGAAACTACACAAATTAATTCGTTACCTATATATGTGTCTATATTGTATTAAAGTTTGATAAAGTTCTGACTTTTAGTTTACATTGTACGAATTTTCAAAGTCATAAGATGGTTTTTGATACTCTAAAAACAGGGGGTTTTTACCTTCCGACTGTCATAAAAAATTCCTAAACGAGCTTAAATATTTTGGTTTTCACAGGAATACGTAGAATAAAACAACGAAAATTATATATACAGTAGAGTCCCGCAAACTCGGCACTCGATAACCCGGCAGTCTGGATAACTCGGCCATCACCTGGCTCAGAAAATTAGTGATTTTTTGAGTCGGAGTTAATCATGGACTCAAGCCAGCTTAAGTCATATTATTCTAAACTGGTACTAAGGATTTGTTGTACTTTATCTGATGACTTAATACTGACTTGTAATATAAATATAAATAAAAAAGGCGGTTAAAAAGCTTAGAAACTGTATCGCTCTTATTTTTAACCCTAGTTCCCGATAACCCGGCATTTCACAAACTCGGCACCCTTTCAGTCCACATTACGCCGAGTTTGCGGGACTCTACTGTACTACGTGTTTTTCTAATCTAGTTTGGTTACTTTTCTGTAGAGCTCCAAACTCGAGTGTCTAAACTTGTTTCCCCGACAGTAAACAAGCATGTTGATGTCTAGGTAGGTTGTAAATTTGTAATGACAATATTTAAACGAGTAACAAACTTTTTAGCCTATGTAGTTTACAAATCAACCGTAATTGAGGGTTGAGCTAATTTATTGTAAATTGGATCAATCAATCAATTAATTATCAATTATCAATCAATCAATGACTGGGACGGGTGGCGTCGTCCTGTAATCCAGCTACTAGGAAGTCACGAATTGTGAATATTTATAGGGATATACTGTGGATGCGATGCTCCCTGGTGTGGATTAACGTCCGCACTAGTGAGTACTACGACTATCCGCAGTACTATCCTGATAATTAGACCAATTCGTAAATTACAAGGGAAAAAATGTGGTTCGGATTCCACTATAAACTGTAGGTCCCTTAGTTGCCATTAGCTGTATGGGATATTAATTAACAGCTGTGTCTAAGGAGCATGTCGGCCTTAGTCACTAACAAGACTACAAGATCATCCTACTCTCATCCTTCATTCATAATTGGGTTAAAATACGCACATAGTGGCGTCCCCAAATTAAATAATTGATGGATGTACTATTTATTACAATTTGTGCAAGAATACACCAGCCTACCTTGTCAGGGAGGTGCCCGCTAGAAGTAAAAAGAAAATCTTAAATTTAAGCATAGGTCGATATGGGTTTAAAAATAAAGGTAATTATTAGACGAATGCAATGCCGCAAATTGGAACTCAAAACAACAGAGTCAAAAATAGCAGCCAGTTCAAACATTCAAATTTGCAAATGTTAGTACTTAATCTTTGAACGGCTGCCATTTTTGACTTGGCTGTCCGTTTGAGTTTGGATTTGCGGTATTGTATCTTACTAAAACAGACCTTCTATTTGATGAACATATCAACCTATGCTTACTATTGAGATTCCTAGAGGGCTGTCCGCTGTCCCCCTAAGGAGGTAGCTATCATTATATAATTGGTTAAATTACTTCAATGCCCAGTAGCTTTGTGCCAAGTTTTGTAGCTATATCTGTATTATTTTTTTGAATATTTAATTGTTCCGGGACTTTGCCGCCCTGTATATTACTATACTCCGTTCACAATATTTAGGCAGTTTGAGTGGAAGTTCCCCCACCACATTTTTGTATTAAAGTCTCTTGCTTAATCAGCTGTTGAGGTATTATTTTATAATAATGGTCAAGTGGAGGAAATAGATTTCTTCTCCTAGAACTGCCTAAATATTGTAAATGAAGTATAACACTAATGTCCTATATATTTACTCAAGTCACTGCTATCGCAGTCAGTCCAAACGAGTAACGTGCAAACAGACACACGAAGGAGTCATGTAGGTGGTACTTAGGTATTTCTTCTTCCGTTTTATTTCTTCCCTCAGCCGTCAAAGGTCCTCAAATTCCAACATGACTCTCATATGTGAGTTCATCTTTATCTTGGCCCGACTTTGATACTAGTGACGTGTGTTACTTTTTTACTATATATATATACTTATACTTTTTTTATATAGACGATTAAAAAGACCCCAAAAAGAGAAAGACCCCTGAAAGTGCTACCAGCAGGCGAAATGTGCATAATGTAGCAATTGTATAAATATCAATTACATAATTGTATAAATATCAATTACATAATTGTATAAATATCAATTATATAATTGTATAAATATCAATTACATAATTGTATAAATATTAATTATATAATTGTATAAATATTAATTATATAATTGTATAAATATCAATTACATAATTAATTGTATAAATATCTAAAAACCACTAGCCTAGTTTAAAAACACGGTGAACAAAAACACAAAATCTTATAGCTGTTGGCCTCATTGTTAAATATTTTGTGTTGTAAATATAATTTATCAATGGTTCAAATGATTTTGCAGGGCGTGTTACGGAGTACTGCGCTTCATCATGGAGAGTCACGCCAAGGGATGTGAAGTTGTGGTGTCTGGCAAGCTGAGAGGTCAGAGAGCCAAGTCCATGAAGTTTGTGGATGGCCTGATGATCCACAGTGGAGAGCCTTGTAGGGACTACGTCGACACTGCTACTAGACACGTCTTGCTTCGACAAGGTAAATACCTTTCTCTAACTGACCTAACTAGGCTCAAACTATGGATCAGATTGTTGATTGAAGCTCTTTAACAGCTACAAAGGATTTGCTACCTATCTTGGGGTCATTAAAACCATAGACAAAAAGAATTAAATATAGACCATCAGCTGTGCTGCAGTTACCATAGGTACCATAGGCCGTGTAGTTACGTAGCGTGTACGCCATAACAAATGGCGCTCCCAGCGGTGTGCGCCAGAACCTATTGTTACCATGGTAACTGCAGCACGGCTGACAGTCTATATTTAATTCTTTTAGTCTATGTTAAAACATACTTCATGTATAGAATTTTAACGTTAGTTGTCCTATTTATGTAGAGGTTTTTTTTGCAAGCTTGTTTTTCATGGAATTGCCACAGCTACTTTTAGCTTATTCTGGATCCTCATAACAGGGACTTATCTATAAGTATAAAAGAGGATGTTTGTATATTTGGCAGTGATAAACTCAGACACCGCTGAACCGGTTGCCACACAACTTGGTACATACGTGTCGAATTTCATGGAATAGGTTTATACACCATCAATTTCGTGATCCATCCAATCGGCTCCGCCCCAGTGGCTCTGGAGTTTCCCATGTTAACCTTATGAGAAATGGAATTAATAAATCTTAACAGCTGTTTCAATTAAACAAGTTGGTTCTGTTCTATGATGTTCAATAGCATTAAAGTTACAAGGATTACCAACAGGGTGCAGCACTATTATTTCTTTTACATTTATGACAATTTTGACAACAGCTAATTTGCAACCAAAAGGTGAGTGAGCATAGCGAACGAACTTCAACCTGGAGGCGAGTTAGTGTAGTGAACGAGCTAACCTGAAGGCAAGTGAGCGTAGCGAACGAGCTAACCTGAAGGCAAGTGAGCGCAGCGAACGAGCTCCAACCTAAAGGTGAGTGAGCGTAGCGAACGAACTTCAACCAGGACGTGATTGAGCCTAATAGAAAGACCAAAAATATTGTCTACCCACTAGCATTAATATAAGAGCAATAATAAAGAATCGGTTATCCTTTGTACTATATGTGTTTCATTAGTTGTCGTACGCATTTTAATTTAGTTATAAGCACTTCATATACAATAAGACAATTAAACGTTACGGTACTTAAATTATAAATAGTCAAAGGCAAGACAACGTCTGCCGGGTTCAGCTAGTTCTTCATAATTCAAATCCCAGAACCTTTGTTAACCTTCAGATTTTCTCAACGATCGTTCCCTGACCTCCCTGATCTCTGCTATGTGTTCCAAGGATCTAGGGAATACCCAATAGAGCATTGAAACAACAGCAATGTGTTAGCTGACAGTAATGTTATGATAAAATGAAAATATGTCTTCAACTCCTGATTTACATTGTGATGTTTTACAGGTGTGCTTGGCATCAAAGTGAAGATCATGTTACCGTTTGATCCTGATGGCAAGATTGGTCCCAAACGACCACTCCCTGACAACATCTTTGTTGTTGAACCCAAAGAGGAGAACCTACCCACCATTCCCACCAGTGACCACAAAGCCGCTGCAAAACCTGACTCCATGCCTATCCCAATCATGGCGTGAACAAATAAATTTTATTTTTATTTAATATGTTGTATTTTTCTCACCAGCTTTTACCATTTTCTGTATAATACTATTATGTGAAATATTTTTTACTTTAGAACAAACGCGACATCAGAAAAAGTATAAATTCATCTAGAAAAAGTATACTTGAGATGAGTACCGGTATACTCTTTGGAGCATGTCCAGTAAATTCCTATTCAAGCTATAAGCAAAAATCAACGGAATACTTAAAGATGATTTCCTGACAAGTAGTTCCTGACAAAACTAATCGCGGCAATAAGCAACAATTGGATTTTTTCAGATGCAGGTACGACTAATTTTGTTATTCAACATAATCCATAAGCTACAACCAAAAATTATTTAAGCATTCCATTGAATGGCACCCTGCTAAAGAGCTAACCGATCTTTGCAGCAGGTAAGCAAATTTCTGGGTTAGCCAGCTAAATGACTTAAAGCCAGCAAATTCCTTGACCGTTTTCAAGGTTAGGCATTTTAACAATTTGGGTGGGTAAGTTTCCAGATCAGCTGGTAAAATGCTACATATATTTTTTCACATTTGGACTTATTGCAATGCATCCTCTATGATTATTTAGTGGCCACACCTTTGATAGGTAGGTACTTTTATTTGTAGTTGTGGCATGAAGACAAAAACTTTACTTTCGTTAAAAAGCCAAATGCAATACCATATATTTATGATAAGCCAAACATTGCTGAGAAAAGTTGTAGCTAGAGCAACCACTGGCTTAGATTGGTAGGCCTATTTGTGACAATAAGACAAAAATCTTAATCCTCATTAAAAAGCTAACCACCACCACAATATAGTTCGGCCGCTAAGAAAACGACCTGCGCGCTAATGCTAAACCAATGCTGGAGGAGGTCGCTTTCTAAGTGGCCAAACTATAGTATCTAGGGATAGTAAGCAAGACACTGCTGGTTTGATAACAGATTTGATATTGCTAGAAAAGTGTTTGTTTTTTTTTTCGGTACGCTATAACTTCCTTATTTCATCACCAACTTTCTTAAACGAGGTGTCAATTTAAAGCTTTTTATATCCACTACACCAGAAAAATATAGAAATCACTAATTTTTCAGTAGTTTTTTGTAAAAACGATTTATAATATCATTCTGCAAGTAATTTAGATTTGAAATGTTTATTTACGTTATTCGATCAGCTGAAACATGTGAATTAAATTAATCAAAACAAACGAATATTTACTTCTTAAATCTGGGTGTTTTGTTTTTACTTCATCCATGTTGACCAACAAACATAGTATGTGCTTTCTATGATAAATCACCCCAGAGATTATTCACTCTACAGAAGTCCAAACAAGAACAACTCAAAAGTAAGTACCACATGGGTTCTTAAGCTTTTTTATTTCTTTATAAACGAGCCATCATTTTGACATACAGTACCTACCAACCATTCTATTTACAGTAGACCCCTTCTTATCCGGACACCTTTCAACCGGACTAGATTGGCAGGAAGTGGGCGGTACTGAAACGACTGTTCTCGTGGGAAAGATTTGAGACCAGTGATCACGTGTCTAAATGCGTAATTATCATTATTGGCTTATACAGTATGGATTTAAACGGTCCGTTTTAACGAGTTTTTGTGGATGTCAGTTTATCCGGACTGGCCTCGGTCCCGAGGAGTCCGGATAAGAGGGAGTCTACTGTATATTTAACAATTCCATCTTCTAACATCCCCTCTAATCTTTTCTTTACTACAGGTTTCAATGAATGGTTATGTTGTGTCGAATTTGTTACCTACAGTTTCCTATCAGTTTTGATTCGGTTCTTTACCAAGGGACATAGAACCATTGACTATATAACTTAGCACACTCTGTTGTATCCATTAGAGTTTTCTAAAACTCCCTAGAGTCCTTTAGGTTCATTACCTTATAAATCCATGCTAAAAAGAACTCTATTATCATGTTGATTGTTGATGAGAAACCTAAGCATGGTCCAAGATTGGTTGTAGCTCACTTGAACGACTACACTATCAAAGCGAAGTTGGCTGACTCCGGTCAAACTGTCATACTACGCAATAGTCTGTAATCCTTTCAAACTGACTAAGAAGGGATTTCCCTTAAACGGTACATTTGCCATGACTTTAAATAAGGCACATGGACAGATGCTAACGAAGGAAGGGTGCCAGGCCCTGTTATATTTAAACATTCAGTTTTTGTGGCTTTGTCAAGAGTGCAACTTTTCAGTGAAAACTATTTATGTGTAAAAACAAATCATTCAAAACAAAAATTTTATATAGACATGTTATTACTTCAAATGTAAACATGTAAAAAAAGTAAAATCCTTAACATTGTATTTTGAAAAGGTTAATTATCTAAAATGTAAACCCACAACTATTCCTGAAGTAAGGAGCCGTACTTAAATCAACAAGGCACTTGCTACGCAGAATTAACTGTATGTTGTGTATCTCAATAAGTGGAATTTGAGGATTCAGTGCAAATGCTTCACACAGGTCAGCTGGTATGAGTAATGAGATAATGATGACACTACCTATCTATATACTATTATTAAAAAGAGGTGGTCGTCAGTGTGTTTGTATGAGCTAAATTAAAAAACTACTGAACCTACTCTGGGCTTAAATTTAACAAAATTAAAGCTACAGCTCCGAGGATAAATATACTGTAGAACTATTCCCGGTTTGATATTGACCTAGGACTTAGCCTCGCGGGTTTTCAAAGTTCTGAGGTGAGAGTTGTAAAATTAAATATCGATTGGTCTCCATTGTAACAAAGAACGAAGTTTAAATGTAAATGAGCAGAAGTGTCAATTTTTTTTCACAAGTATTTTATTTACCGTCTGTTCTATACTGGAACAATAAGTAAATGTCATGACAATTTAACAGCACAAATAAAATTCTTTACAAATAATTCTTTTACAGTATTAGAGTGCAAGTAACCATACCTTTTTTCAAGACCTGGGTGTGTCAGAAACATAGGCTATATTTTCACCATTCTAGATTATGTTCAACCATTTTTAGAAAATTGTTTTTATTTGAACCCAGTATTGACGAACCCCACAAAAATGGTCCAATAGAATTGAAACGGCTGTTTATAACTCCTATTCAGATTCTATTGATATTCAGTAACTTTACATCAACTCTCACCAGATATTTGATATGTTAAATACGCTACAACTATGCTTTACAAATTAACTTGTTTAAGGACGTGAAAATCAATCAGGATAAAGGCATAGATAAAACATACTCCCTTAGTAGATTAGTCATCCTAATGGAACAGCTGAAGCCAATTTTATTGTTAGTTCTGTACGTCCAACTATAGAGGTTTTGTTTTGTTTACAATTTGTTTCTTGTTATTGCAGTCATTTAACACCCCGTTTAACCTAATAAAACGATATAATCATAAACAATAACTGGTCTCCTAGTTATATAACCAAATAGTAAAGCACAAATCATGAAAATAACCCTAAAATAATAGAATCAAAATGTTGTCTACACTTGCGATCAGTGTGGACGTACATGAACTAGACGCAAAAAACAAGCTTCAAAATTTACAATTGGATGAGGAGTCTACTTGTGTTGCTTAGTCTATGATAAAGGCCTCTGAATAAATAAGTGTTAAGAACAAAACTTGGAGTTTATTGTTAGGCTAGAGATACAGGTGCTGCATCTGGTTTGGCCGCTTTGATGTCGCTGGTAGGAGCGGTGGGGAGGATCTCCTCTTTAGGCTCGTTGACAGACACTTTGTCTGGCAGAGGCTTCTTGGGTCCAATCTTGCCGTTGGGGTCGTGGGGCAACATGATCTTTACTTTGATGCCCAACACACCTGAAAACATTTTTGTCAATTATTAACCATTATTAAGCTAGCTCTAAGTTTGTACAGCCACTTATACAATGAAAATTAAGAAGTATTGCAACATTTCTATTCAGGTAGAGAAGCGGCACGTTACCTTCTATTTCACAATTGGCAATCGGAAACAATTTTCCCTGTGCAAGCCTTAGCTCAAACTGAAGCAAGGTTGTTGTTATGCAATGAGGATGACATTTCCCACCCCGCCCCGCACCAGTAGTGCCAGTACAGCGGGATGAGAATTTCCGCCCCTAGCACCGAACAAGTTAAAGGTTAAAAAGGGACTAAAAGAATTGTCTAATCTAGGTCTTCAGGTGATGACCACATTGTTGAATAAGAAGACTAGAGGCCGACAATTTGGATGTGTATCAGCTATCCATCTTCGGGGAAGAAACATCGGCCCCTAGTCTTACTTATTTAACGACATGGTCATCACCTGAAGACCTAGATTTGACAATCTGTTGTGACCGTGGAAGCCTATCAACTAGACTTAAGTAGCTAACCAAAACACGTTTCCCTTTTATTTCTACAGTGGTATTTTTAGTGAAACAACACAAATGCTACAAAGGGAAAGTTATCTAAACCCATCAAAGTTTTGTAGATCTGCCGGGATTTCAACCCGTCCCTCCCACACAAGTCTGAGGCGCTAACCACTAGGCTAGCAACACACTAATCCACTAGCCGCTAATATTAGCTAAGCTGCTTGCACATGTCGAGTCTATCCAACCATTCAGACAGAGACTAGGCCTACATTATTTTAGATCTTTCACAAGCTGACAAACCTACGTGATGTACCTACGTGAGCAAAGTGGAATTGCACAAGTCTGACATGTACAAAAGCAGCTAATACTAGCAACTGAATTATGTGTGATGCTTTAAATGTAGAAGGACTGACCTTGTCTGAGCAGAACGTGCCTCGTGGCTGTGTCAACGTAGTCTATGCAAGGCTCTCCACTGTGGATCATCAAACCGTCTACAAACTTCATGCTCTTGGCTCTCTGACCTCTCAGCTTGCCTGACACCACAACTTCACAACCCTTGGCTCCACTCTCCATGATGAACCTCAACACTCCATAGCACGCTCTGCAAAAAACAAAGGTGTTTTATACAATTCTGGGATAGTTTAAAACTTGTGATAAGTTTATCACAAGGGAATTCACTTTAGTATTACAGTAGACTCCCTCTTATCCGGCCACCTTTTAACCGAACATCGGTTTAACTGGACTACAATCGGCAGAAATTACATCACTTTTACCGGAAAATTTTTATCAGCACATTGGACTAGATCGGTAGGAAGTGAGCGGTACTGAAACAACTGTTCTCGTGGGAAAGATTTGAGACCAGTGATCACGTGTCTAAATACAATGCTCTCCTAAATTGAAGTCGAATATCACAGTAAACTTCCCGTATTAACGAGTTTTTGGGGACGTCGGTTTAACTGGAAAACCCGTTATCCGGACTGGCCTCGGTCCCGAGGAGTCCGGATAAGAGGGGGTCTACTGTACAGTTGAGTATCTTATTTACAACTTTCGGCATTTCCCCATTATAATTCACAATCTACAAAATTTGCTGTAAACCAATACCTGCAGATGTAACTCTCGCCAAAACAAACAATAATTCAGAAACAGTTTTTATGTGTTAGCAAAACACCTAGAATCCAAAACTAAATACACAAGGTGTTACAAAGGATCAGTATCATTATTACATTAGGCCTTATTGAGCTAATAAAATAAATTGTAAATTTTAAAGCTAGCATGTCATGTAGAATAGGCTACAGAATGATTGAATTTGTTTCACGCATAATAACTAAAGTACGGTAATAACTACGGTAAGAAATGCATTAGGAAGCTGAAAATCGCAGTCAGAAATATACAAGGCTTATTACAAAAAACATCTTATTCCAATATTGAACAAATACGTAAGCTATCGTCCGATGACACATTTATTTACAGCGTTGAATTACAGAACGGACTATCAGTGTTAGATTATCAAACTGTGCCAACTGCGCACAATTTTTTACAAGGAATTTTGTTTAATTTGTGTACCAGGACCACCAATACATATAAACTTTTAGACTAGGTAGATATAAAAAATATTTTATAAAACCGTTTTAGAATAAACTAAAATAAAATAACATAGCCTAATTGATAAAAGCAAATAATAAATAACATTACATATTAAAAATCGGTTGCTTGTAGGAGCAGTCTAAAAATGATTTGGCTGGTAAGAATGCAGTGTGGTAGTCTCTGCTATGCACAGTAAATAGAGCATTCTAACGGCAAAGTATTACGTAAAGCAAGGCCAGTTAAACTAAAAATAACATCCAACTGAAATGAAGGCTTTTATCCAAACGTTAGATTTACCTTAATTAATCTAGGTAATAGTTTAAAAACTCTAAGGATATTTTATATAGGTAGTCTATTATTTTCATTCGCAAATTTTACGTAGGCCTAACAACGGACGAAATAGTATTGCAGTAGGCTATATTGTTGCAATAGGTCTAGATGACTGCCGTTTTAGTCCGGATTTTTAAATTTCCACGTATTTCAAATAGCACAATTTGGCAGTTCTCTCTTTCAATAGAGATAAAACAGGCACAGTTAGACCATAACAGAGACATTTTTTGATAATAATCATAAGTTATCCACGGACCATTTTAAGGATGAGAGTCATGGAGTATTTTTATCCATATACAGGGTGGCTGAAAAGTAACTTGCACCCCCCCCTTAACTTTTGAACCTTTTGAGATATTTGAAATCGGTTTGCGGCAACCTTCTTAGAGATGAGGGGCTACAATAATTATGGTCAATTTTAAAAAAATTTGCCCTTGGGGGTAGTGGCAAGTATAGTCGAGTTTGGTATCATTTTGCAGGTCTTGACGAAACATAACAATTAACATAAAGAAAATAGAAATCGGACCATTAATAACAAAATGGCCGTTCAAAATTACTTTTAATGACCATTATCTTAATCATTTATAGCTGCAATTTTGTTATTAATGGTCCGATTTATTTTTCTTTATGTTAATTGTTATGTTTCGTCAAGACCTACAAATTGATACCAAACTCGACAATACTTGCTATTTGAAAATTTTGAGCCACCCCTACCCTACCCCCGCTACCCCTAAGGGCAAAATTTTCAAAACTGACCTTAATTATTGTAGCCCTTCATATCCTAACAAGTTGCTGCAAACCGATTTCAAATATCTCAAAAGTTAAAGAGGGTGCAAGTTAATTTTTCTGCCACCGTCGTGGTTATTTGGATTTGAAACAATTTTGGGCGCAATTTTGTTATTAGTAGGCTGATTTTGGTTTTCTTTATGTCAATTGTTATGTTTCGTCAAGACCTGTAAAATGATACAAAATTCTACTATACTTCTCTTTGAAAATTTTGAGCTACCCCCTACCCCTAAGGGCAAAATTTTCAAAATTTACCATTAATTATTGTAGCCCTTCATATCTAAGAAGGTTGCCGCAAACAGATTTCAAATATCTCAAATGGTTGAAAAGTTAAGGGGGGGGGGGGGTGCAATTATATTTTATATTATATTTTTCTCCAGTGTAGCGACACTGTGATAATGCTATGAATCTAATTTTTTGGGATATGGCAATGTTGGCAAGTTATGGCTGGTTCATTTTGTGATAAGAGCCTTATATCAGTGGCAAGTGAAGTAGGTTTATTAAACATCTTAAGTCTTCTTAATTGTTTCTAGACTACAATTTAATAAGTGATTTTAAGTGAGTTTTTAGCATTTGGCGACATTAAAACAAAAAATAAATTGGCCCCAGGCCAGGTCTTACCATGAGACCAACAATAATAGCTTATTCCCTATGGGAATTTCGCTGAAAGGAATGAGTGTAGGTGTAACTTGTAAATTAAATATGTTATGTATTCCCACTGAACTAAGCAAGCCTAATCTATGACATATTCTTACCTTCGCACAGCAAGACCTCCAATCAGCTTGTAACGGAGAGACTCAGCTTGTGCAATGGCGCAAAGCCCCCTTGTTGCCACTTTCTCAGCATACAACTCAACAGAGTCGTTGGGGAAGTTGAATCTCTTTTGTACAACAGATGTCAACTCTCTGATGCGTCGGCCCTTCTCTCCTAGCACATTCTGTGTTCGGGTGGCCATAATGATGATTTCTGTTTTGGTGGGAGTGACACGCACCTCCACACCTGAGTAACCATCTTCGGCTAGCTCACGAGTCAAAAACTCATTGAGTTCAGCTTTGAACACTCCATCTCCAACAAACTACAAAAAAGTGATTAGATTAAGTAAATGACACAAGTTATTACTGAGTAAAAATAATTTATAATGTTGATGTTTGTATGAAACATAAATTGGTGATTATCCAAATACAACATTTTACTTGCCTTAGCCTTCCAAAGAATTTTAACTTGTTTATCACTAAGTGCTTAACGAACTGTTTAACACCAAAGTATCACTTAAGCGAAGAGTGTACTAAGTAAGCAACGCAACACATTTCTAATCCGCTGAATATATACTTACCACTAAATGTTATTTTACTAGGCTTACTTACTTCACTCAAGAACAAGTAAACAGACTGTCTCTGCGCAAGAAAACAATAACATGACTCAGCCGGCCGGATTTGTAAACAACAGATGTTAACTTACAAGTTTAGTAATGCCAACCCACCAAATCAGAAATGCCAATCAGAAATTTTCCACGTAGGCCTTATAGTTACCGCAACAATAATATTGATTAATGGCCTAGAAGTTAAGGTAACTACTATTGAAGACCAACAAACAAATTTAAAATACCTGAGAACTTAAATGAAGTTTAGGCCTACATGTTTTGACACAGGCTATAGCCTAAGTTATTATCGGCTATTTGTCGTAGGCTTGTGACCTTCATATTGAGTTGCTTCCCTATAATGCTGGGGAAGGGTTAAAACATTGTTTCAAGAAAATCCAGGAATGTGGTGTGTCAATTTTATTTTTTACAAAATCTGAACGTACGAAGCCAAACTCTTAGCGCCCCCTCAAAGGTTAACGGCTACTATATATAATTTGCAGAGGACATATTTTATCAAAGTCATGAGATAGCAATTAACTTAAAAGTTAGATGTAAGTTTAAGTTTATTAACATAATATGAGCAAATTAGCCTAGGCCTATAAGAGACACAAGAGGCCCTTCATTTATAATGTTTGAACAAATTGAAATACTAAACGCGTGATAGAAAGAAAGTCCAAAGTTATGCAGCCTAAGTTACCCTAACTAACCAAACGATAACTTATATCGAATGAAACAATCGAATAATCGATATTTTCATTCGGTGTTTGTGCCAACAGAAATGGAAGTCTAACCCTGATAAATTCATTAGGCCTACATATTCCTGATAATGGTAGGTAGAAAACGTCCTTCAAATTCAGGTTAGGTACCTATGTTATTCTAGGCTATGTAATATTCATGAAGCCTGATTAGGTCCTAATTCAGATGATTTACTAACCTAGGCCTCCATTAGAGATAAATTTGGGCCTGGACATCCAAGGTTTACGTCAGACTACTTGGTAATATGCTACTTTATCAGGGGAGGAAAATCCAGAGGCCTAACCCTCCGATTAGGCCTTAAGCCTAGCCTAGTCCAATATTTACTAAACCCAAATTCGGTAAGTCTACTATTATGCTATCTTTACCAAAAGAGGCCAAAACTATTCTTCGGTGGTAAACTTATGAAAGTAAGAATTAAATTAATAAGAGTAAATTACTTAACATTAAATACTAGTCCAAACAAATAACATTGTAACCCTGGAACAGGAGAATTATCCATTGTAATCGAATCAGGACGAGGGTTTTCAGTTATTATTTTCATATGCAAATATTTGGAGATAGAATTGAACTTTGTCCACAAATGTAAAAGGAGGGTAATAAAACTAATAAACTTACTTTTCGTTTTTTAGAAATATTCGGCGTCATTTTAGCAATATAATTCACTAGACACAACAAAACGTAAAGAAAGAGGTTAACCGGATGCCATCCCAAAAAGATTCTCGTCGTCGTCGACAAACAGCCAAGTAGTAAACAGGAAAAAGTAATATTATTATCAGCACTATATGTTGTATTAACTCACTGAGTATGTTTTATCTATGCTGGCATACTCTGAATGTATATTATGTAGTCAATGTAGTCAATGGCTGATAATACATAATAATTTTCAAATATTTTTTTTTAAGCAACGAAACAAAAAATCGATTCATATAATCCAAGATATTTGCATAAAAGCAAAATCCCCTCTCAATAAGGAATTATTGCTAGGAATATTATAGGTTGGTTAGTCTATGATTATAGGCACAATAAACCGAACATTCAAACGTACATTCCCTCTAAATTCGCTAATAGCAGATCAAGACTAATTTTTGAAGGACCGTCCCACTTTGTCATGATTTTACGATGCGTGATAACAATAAAGTGGTACCATAGATAAAACATACTCCTCAAGTAGGTCCTTGAGTAGTCCTTGAGGAGTATGTTTTATCTATGGTGGTACAGTGACTATGACAGCTGGCTTAGTCATACCTTAGACATTCTATCTCCATGTTAAACTTGTAGCCAGATTTTATCAAAATTGTCGTAGTTAATGTGAGCCAACTACAGATTGGTCTGATCTAAATTACTAAATTCTGTCGAATACACAAACTTTTTACCAAGTCAAACTTAGTGAATGACTAATGGTGATCTATAGCAACTGTTTCTGTTAAGACCAGGTCATCAACAAAATATAAGGTATAAAATTGAATTTCAGACACCAGCGCATTCTGTGACTGGCTCACACAACTAACGTTCTTTTTTGATATATAAATTGGCTACAGCTGGTCCATAGATGGGATGTCTACTTCAGTCTCCAATAGTCAATGGTCATACCATAGATAAAACACTCAACATACTCCCTTGGTAAATATCTCAACTTTTATACAGCACAGTATAGCCTGCAGTTATAAATTTGAGATGGAATACATAGAATTTTATTTTGTTGACCTCCATATCTCAAATATCTCTGTAAGTGAAATTCCATACAACACAAGCAACAAAAACCATTTTATAACTCAAACCTCAAATTATTCGAAATCTCGAATCATATCTAGTTCAAAGAAATGTGGTATCCCCTCGATTTTTGAATTATCGAGGTTCGACTCGACTTATGATTTAATAGTGGAGGTTAGCGCATCTTTCATCTATCTGAACCCAAGGGAATAGGGATACCATACATTGGCAGTTATGAGGACGGCATTTGAGAAGCCGAATAATTGTCTAGAAGTGATACACAATAATTGAGATTGCAGTATTAAGTTTCTGGGTATTTGTATTTGCAAAAGACAAATATATTAGTGGAACATGGTGAGTGGGGTAAACTGGCAATGCGCCAGTTATGTGAGGGTTAAAAAGGGCCAGTCTGGCACGCACCGGGATGCTGAATTTTTATTTCAGGTTTAGTGTTGCCTACAGTAACATTTTGAGGCTTCTGATTGGCTGAGGGAACATCATTACCGCAACGATACGGTTGATGCAAACAGCCTCGGTGGTGTAGTGGATAGATTGCTGGGCTGTTGATCCGAAGGACCAGGATTCGAATCCCACCCGTAGCACTATTTTTTTGTATTGGATTTTTTTCATTATAAACAAGTTTGGTTGGTTTGGTTAGGTTATGACGGTTTAATTTTATAATTAAAACATTATAAAATTGAATTTGACCCATTTATAGTTTTATTTAATGAACAGAAATTTTTTTCGGTTAAACCTTCATTTGATTTTTCATTATCAGCAAGTCTGGTTAGTTTGGTTAGGTTATGATAGTTTAATTTTATAATAAAAAAATTATAGGATTTGAGGCATTTATAATTTTATTTTATGAACAGAACTATTTTTTCGATTAATAAACCTTCATTAGACTTTTTCATTGTCAGCACGTTTGGTTGGTTTGGTTAGGTTATGACGGTTTGATTTCATAATAAAACATATAAAATTGAATTTGAGGCATTTATAATTTTATTCCATGAACAAAATAATTTTTCAATTACTAAACCTTCATTATAGTCAATCAGAAGCCTCTAAATGACACTGTTGGCAAAATTAATCCTGAAAAACAAATTGTGCCACCGGGATTGCACCGATTGCACCAACGATAACCCAGGTAGCCATATAGCCGGGTAATCGGGCGGAAGATAGAATGTAACCTAACCTACTCTAACCAGATAATGAAGGGATATTATCAACATAAGTTGATATAAACTAAAGTAGAAATGTGGTTTGAACTGTAAACGAGAAGCGGACATCATTGTTTGCACACTGCTGGGGTAGTTTCTTAAGAAAAATCTCTGATAAAAGAAATGCCGCATTGGTGGGAAATTTTGCAGTGGCGCTTTGCTGGTGTGTACCTAGCCCTCGCTATAGGCCTACTAGGGGCGCAATCCCAGTGGACCGGCTGAGTGAAGGTTAATGAAAGTTAAATAAATGTATATAAATAAAATTAGAGTTTTGTCTGTACATTGCTCAGAATCATACATTTTTAGGTTATTTTTACGTTTTATACATTAAAGAAGCCGAAACAAGTCTCATCTAAATTTCTGTCTGTCTGTCTGTCTGTCTGTCTGTCTGTCTGTCTGTCTGACACACTCAAGATGGCATTTTACGCAATCTTCTCCAGGAAAACGAGAGTACCTATCAAGACCCAAGTCATTTTAATGTATTCACTGGATTGGCGAGAGTGTCTTTAGCCATTAAAATATGGTCTCACTACTTTGTAATTAAAATTACGGCCGTTCAAAAATGCAGTTTTGTGCGATTTTTGTCAAGTTTTCTTCCAATTTGTATCACATAATCATCTATGAAACAACGAACAGCTGTTCGGATCAAGATTATTTTTTCTAGCTGTCACTGAAATGTTTACAAATGTTGTTTACAAACACCACAACCATTTCCGATCACGTTTTGAAGGCAAATCCCATCCAAGTGAGATTAAAAACGTTTTTATTACATAAAGGATTTAATTAATCGCAAGTGGAATAATATAGTGTAACCGTAAATTAAATAACTCATCCATCATCCAGGTCAGGAACCAGAAATATGTGTATAAAATTGTTTTGGAGTTTTGATAACCAGAAAGAAGACATTGAATCAAGATTGAATCAGTGTTGTATACGGCTGGGAAACTTAAATTTACTAATGACCGTCGCCAATAGCTTAGAAACAATGTTCCACTCATTGACGGCTCTTCAATGGCGGTTGTGTAAAGTGTAAAGCAAAAAATTACAACTGCAGTGGGTGATTGTAACAGAGGTTTACGGATGATGCTGAACTCGATTTTCCAATGTGTCACTTTCTGTTCCTACCATTGACTATATAAAGTCAATAGTTCCTACTCACCGTGTGATGCAATCGCTGGACCATACAGCCAATAGGCCCATAGCCCTTCTCTTGGGTACGTGTGGTACGTATGCTTACCCAATTATTTATAACAACCCTTTCGAGAACGATCCTTGATACCGGTACTTTTCCATAGAATACACGGCCTACCTAGGTACTTAAGAAATAAAATTATAAACGTCCAAAAACCCAACGTTGTGTAATTTTTGTCACATTTCCTTATAATGTTAATATATATACCAGCAACCATTGTTTAGAGAATACGTAATCTATTAAATAACAGAAAGTTATGTTGTATAAGGTTTTTTTTCAAACTGACACCGATAAGTTTACATTAAGAGTTGTGTACAAACAAAGCAATTAATGGGAAATAACTTTGATTGCCGATAACTTTTTACGAGAAAATCCAAAACCAAGAGATCAATAACCTTGATTAACGCATATAATTGGTCGGCTGTACTACAGTTCTTAACTGTAAACGTTGGTTTTTGGTATGGTACTGGTTCTTTTCCTTTTAACCTTTAGTAAGCCAAAACTAATGCTTCGCAATTAAATGTCACCCGGATCTTGTTGGTCCATATGTTATATCCAATGATTAAACTAAATAAACGGTATCAGCATTCTGACACATACTTTCTCCCATAAGTTTGTCAACAACCTTTATCATGTGTAAGCGGTGAGAGTAAATATACGGAAATGGGATTTGTACAATTTTGTTCAGAATTTAAAGGACTATAACATAATGGTTAAAAGTATTTAAGGTACTACCTCAACCTCTTAATTTAACACTTTATTCGGGTTGACATTTTAATTATCAAGGCGCTCTTGTCCTTTCCGTGAAACATTGAGAAACAAGGACATTAATGCGTTACCATCATACATACACACAAAAATACCGAACTTAATTAGGGAATCTGCTACGCTTTAAGGTACATATAAAAAGGTACATATAAAATTAGTACTTGAAATCTTTGTTAATGCCATAAAATTTGATCATAACAATTTATATTTGCTTGGACCGGAGATGACTCGAAATTCTGTCAAAATGCTATCTGAATCGGTTTGCTATATGAAATGAAGTACAGTAGGCCTACTATAGACGATTTAGATTGGTAATTTGTAATAAAAATTACCAAAATAGGCCACGAACTATTGATACATAAACAACGTTCAAAGTGTTTGAACAATTCATGATGGTTTGCTGAATAAATGTTTTACTAAAATGCGTTATAGTTTTCTTAGCATAACATTTTGGAATCCAGACAGAAAAAGCAAAAATTATACAGTTAAGACATCAATTAAATTGAATAGGCCTACGCCTGTAATAAATAAGGTGCAACACCAACGATAACTAATTTGTAAATTACTGTAATGTGTTGGTACGTAAAAATGATTCTTGCTGCTACTAAAGGTTAAAAGGAAAAGAACCAGTACCATACCAAAAACCAACGTTTACAGTTAAGAACTGTAGTACAGCCGACCAATTATATGCGTTAATCAAGGTTATTGATCTCTTGGTTTTGGATTTTCTCGTAAAAAGTTATCGGCAATCAAAGTTATTTCCCATTAATTGCTTTGTTTGTACACAACTCTTAATGTAAACTTATCGGTGTCAGTTTGAAAAAAAAAC